GTTTTTTCCTGAATATTTTTAGACCATTTTGAAGCTCTTCAAAAGACCTATCAACTAAATCAACACCGGCCTGTTGGTCAAAATGGTTGGTTCATAGTGATGGAAACTCTCAGTAGCTATCTTCAATTTTTCAGACATTTAATGACTATGTAGTTCAATGTTCTCTATATCAAATTGTGCTGCTCTATTTTTATTCATCGATGTTTTTATACCATTTTGAAGCTCTGAAAAATTGCTATCCAACCATATGAAACCGAAACTGCTCGATCATGTATTGAGTGGATAAAACGAGACGCTTACCATGAAAAGCCAGGATCATTCTTAATGCAAAGGTCATTGAATAAGTTACTAGACCTGTCCATAGCAAAAACAAGCTCTATATGGCTAATTCTATCACAGAACGCTTTCGGGCATCTAATATAGTAGTTTTACTTGGATAAAGTCGAATTTCTCAAGGGGGCATATTTCATCGCTTACCGACCTCTTCCTTTTCCTATTGGTTAATCTTCTAACTTATAGTTATTTTTCTAGCGGCATCTTTAATGAAATATTCAAACTCGAAAACTAAACAAGATTAGCCGATGTGGCTAGTAACAATGGCTTCAGCGCGTTTACAAATATAAAGGAGCGCGTTTTAGACTCAAATCTGACAATTTTGTAAGAATTACAAAAATATTCATCTAGTGAGAAATAAAAAAATCTCAAGAAAAAGAATCGCGGGTAACCGAAGTTAACCGTCGGTTTTAGTCCGGTTTTAGCGACATGGGGTGTTCACGGTGTTCTCTTGCGGTCGTAATATCCGAGGAAAGCATTATCTACAATTGTTGTAAACAGCTAATGGAATTAGTCTTCGTTATCCATCGTAACTCCCTGGCGTAAGGCCATGTATGGTCGATTTTGATTGAACTTGGATCTCAGACTTTTAAGAGTTGTGAAACTTAAGCGACTGCGGATAAATATATCCAAGGTTTTCTGTTTTCAAACAAGAACAAAAATTAAGTTAGTTCTGACACAAAATGAGTATTTTTGAATAAAATTAAGAATATTTTTATTTACATTTCAAAACTTCTGATTTCTTTGGAGTCTGAATTTTTTTTTGGAGCCGATTGATGCGTCCTCGAACAAATGTTTAAAAACAATGAATCCGACTGCAGCAGAAAATTCCTTTAACTAGCACATTTTAATACTATATTATAGGCTGTCAAAATTATGTGAAAATAAATGGCGACACATCAGGTTGAAATCCAAGTGTTATGTGTAGTTCAAAAAGTGAACTAGATAGATGGGTCATCATAGGATGTGTAAACATCTAAATTATCCTCCCAAGCCGTTTCCCTTACACTTGATTTCTATTGGTTACTGCTTAACCAATAGAATTTGGAGGCAAATGGAGCTCACATGCAAGTTCTCCACCCCAGAAAATCCCTGAATATCATTTCTGTGATCGAACGATGAGGCTTTAATTGTCGATCAATAAGAGCGTGGACAAACATAAAACCAATTTCTGTTCAAGTATCTTTGCAATATCTCATTTACCATTGTTGTTTCTTGATGTTTTATATGCGTTTTTGTAGCTCGTGAAATTCTCTATCGAATGGTACTTAATAGCTAAGGTTTTGTTTGATTATGAGAGAAAAAATGTTTTTTACGAAAATCGGGATAGGTCAATGTTCGCATAGGCAAGCATAAGGAATAGTGACTTTTTTGCGATAAGTCAGCGATTTGTTGATGAACCATTCTCATCTTCGAACTCGACCGAGATATCGATGAGACGATTCTGTGTACAAAATTTCATCACAATCGAAATATCCTTTGAAGAGTTATCCAGTGAACGGTCAGACAGCTAGACGAATGCACGAACACACTGACCGATTCTAATATATTCACTTTTTGAGTACACAAAAAGAGTTTTGATTTTTTGATAAAAATATAGAAACAGAACCCATACCAAGATCAATTCCGGCTCCGACTTCAGCTTCACGAATTACAACACTAGACTATGCTCCAACTAGGTCAACAATTTCTGCATTCGATATTGAAGATCAGAAACATGGAAGAAAAAAAATTATGAAAAAAATTGCAATGTTCACTTTTTTTCTCATGTTAATTGCCTTGCCAGTCGCCACACTAACAATGGGACTACTTTACAAGAACGATTGCCCAATTCAAGCATGGATTCCCCGATGGATGCTTCTTTTTGGAGCCGGTGGCTTTGGCTTAATATTCCCCATCGTGAGAATTTTTGCGTTACTTATATTCTGTAAAATAACATACTCATTTATAGCTTTTAATACTTTTCAAACGATGCTTTGACGATAAAGACATCAGATACGGTTTCACTGGTTGCGTTGGGATTGTATTACTCTTGTTTTCCTTTGCGTGGTTAATAGCGGTAAAGTGTATTGCGCTTTCACAAAAATTCTCTATTGAGACAACTTTGGATATTTCTCTTTTTTGTGTACAGGGAAGTGTTTGGACATTTCGTGTTAAATCAAAAGTTCAATTCAGTCAATCGGATTTAGAAAATTACTGTAAACAGAAACTTTACAATTTTGCATTCGGATTCCTTCTTGCACAATATGGATTAATCGGACTGTTCATTTGCTTGATTGGTACTGGCTTTTTGTGCAGTTTATGCTATTGATAATGTGAAACATTGTATGAAATGACCAAATATCAGTTCAATCAAAGAAATTTCTCTATACCGCAACTATATATGAAACGCAAAAACCACGATGTTTTACTTACTAATAAAGACACACACAGCGAGGTTGTGAATGTGGGGTGAATGTCGAGTCAGTGTCGGTCTCTATGTTCTTTTCTCTCGCACTCACACTCAACCCGCATTCACAGGCATACCAGGATCCAACCCTCACACCCACACCCTCTTCCATTACGGAAAGGTCTTCTAATGTACCGGAGACAAGTCAATAAAATCTAGAAGAAAAACCTCTTTTCCTCTCGAGACAATGTGCTATTCAACTATCAGCTATCTCTGAAAAAGAGTAGATAATTCCGTGGGGTTCCTCCCACCGTTAGGGGTGTGGGTGGGTGTGAGTGTGGGTGTGGGTGTGGGTGTAGATCTTGATATCAAAATAATTACA